GTGTGCATGGTGCCATACTAAAATCTGGATTAACGCAAGGATGTGTGTTCTAGGAACAAACCCTGAACGAGCCACCTGCAGTGCAGGAAATGCTGAGACCTAGTTCCTGATGGAAGCGAGGAGAAAACGGTGAGGTGTTGGGATGAACGGGGCTTTCGGATGTCCCCCGCTCCCCCGGCGTGGATGAATGCGAGAGGTCTGGCCCGGGTGCAGCCCTGAGCTGCGCTCGGTCCGTTCAGCCCCACAGCTGGGAGAAATGCGCAAGGTAGAAAGCACTTGTCACAACAAATAAAGTCTGAAATACGTCTTTGGAAAGTCTTTTTGATTCTAATTGGCATTTCTGAGGCTGCTGCTGGAGGATCCTAGAGGACCAGGCGAACAGCAGAGCGAGTCCCTGGGAGCTTTCCTCTCCCCTGCCTCGGGCGTTTGCTGAATCTGTCCTCGGAGGACCCGGAGAGGGGCTGACGGCGAGCCTGGGGTCAGGCTGCCAGGACTGCTCTGCAGCCTTCAGCAGGGCGCGTGGGAGATGGCATCTTTTGACCTGGTTGCCGACCTGTGTCAGCACCAAAGGGGACCTTTGTTTAAAAAAACAACAACAAAAAACCCAAGGAAAAAAAACCTAAAAACGAGCAAACAAAAACCTGTATTGGGATATTGTTTAAAAATCAAAACCAAACTCCCCCAGAAAACCCTCTCAACCCCTCACAGCAGTTTTTCTGAAATTTTGCAGCCCCGCGTCACGGCAGGCTCCCTTTGAGCAGCCCTTTGTAGCGAAGAGGCTTTGTCTCGTCTCGGTGACGAACGCCTTGTTCCCTTTTCCTCCGCGAGCTGCTGGGTGTGGACGTGTCTGCGGTCATCCCCTCCTCGGTACAGCAAAGAAATGGCTCTTGCCTGGTTCAGGGACGGACCTAAGGCCCTTCAGCGGCCCGCTGGCCTGGCGTGAGCCAGCGGTGCGGAGGTCGGGAAGGATGGGGCCGGCGGTGAGAAGCAAGCGAGACATGCCGGGAGAGGCAGGGAAGGACGAAAGCCGCGGCGGACCCCAGCTGGGTCTCCGTGGCTGGGAACCCTCCTTGCTTAGGGGGCTTTTTGTGCTAAGTCATTAGTTGCTGGTTGAGCAGAGAGGTGGTTTGGCAGGCGCAGGAGCCCGAGCAGAGAGCAGGGCACTAACCAAACCTGCGGCAATTGCTGCGCCGGAGGAGCGTGGCTCGGGGGCAGGTGGCAGCGGGGGCCCAGGCGGAGCACCTCTGCCCCTTGGCTTTTGTCTGAACAGCGTGTTAAAGCAAACAGGTTTAAAGTCTGGTTCAAACAGCTCATCTATTCGGTTGGCAAAGGTTAAAAGATCTCCAGTGTGTTTGCATTTAATTATCTATTTTAGTGGCAGATTTTTTTTTTTCGTAGGCGGTGAAATCTGGATGGGCTTAAAGGACGTTTCGGTAAGCGGAGGCTCGCATAAAATAGACTGTAATGATTTATTCGGAGCTGCTATGCTTTGTCTATCCTTGTTAAGTACCTTGAGAATACAGACTGGCTCTGAGGGAATTTAATGTGACACATAAAAATAAGGAGTGTTGGAGAAAGCTGTAGGCTTTACAGTATTCAACTAGCTTGCATCCTTGCTACGTAGCAAGCAATTTTCCTTGAATTTGAGATGCCAAAAGTGGGAGAACACCTATTGCCTTGCCTTGGGCCTGGCGCTGGCCGTGTCAGCGTAAAACAGGCACCCTGGGAGAGCGTGAGCTGCCAGCCCCGTGCTGCTAGTTTGGGAGCGTGGCTGTGCTAGCCAGGCATTGCTGTGCTAAAGTGGATTAGCAGCAAAAAGGCTCAACACTGGAAAATAAGCATGAGTAAAAATGTAAATAGGATCAGCAAGCTCGTTTAATTTTTATACGTGAAAATTACACATCACCATTGTCACAGCTCATTTGGCTGCGACATTTGGAACCGTTCTTGCTGTCCTGGTGCGTGAAGGGTTTGCTGTGAGCCGTGCCCTTGCTAGCATCCTCCTCGAGCCCCCGCGCCTGCTGCAGCTCTGGCACCCAGCTCTTTGCAGAGGAATAAAGCAGCAGAGCACCGAGATGGGCAGGTTGGGGGAGCAGAGGGGGCTGAGGTGTCGGGAACGGCAGATTTCAGGTACCCGAGGCGTGACGTTAACCTGCTGCAGGGACATCGGTGAGTCAGTCCCTTCCTGTGCTTCCCTTTGCCTCCCCCAGGCAGGGCTCTCCACGCTTTCCTCTCCGGGCTCGCAGGGGAAATCCCCTCACTTGCCTTAGCCCTCTTCTGTCCGTTTAAAAAAAGCCCTTTAAAAGCCATCTCCCTCTGGGAGATGAATTCCTCACACGTATGCTGCCTCCCAAGGACCTTCTGGCAACCCCTGTAGCAGAGCTGTAGCGTGCAAAAACGCTTGTGCCAGGTAAGGTGCGTGTCAGGGGAGTTAAGCTGCCTTTGATCCTTTCCCTCTTCCCCTGAGCTGAGCACACAATCTCCCGCTGTTACAGGAACGCACGTTCAATGTGGCTCTTCGGCTTAAAATTTGTGAGCAAGAAAGGGGAGGGATGTTTTCATATTTTTTGGTGGGATGCTGCTGCTGACAAGCCAGAGTGATCACTGCCTCTAACTACGGCAGCCTCTCCGCTGTACTCTCGTAGGGGGTTTGCTCTCGATGTGACGGAGCCCGCTGCTGCCCAAATGGGCACCCTCGGAGCCTCCAACCAACAAAAAGCCTTTTTTTTTTCTTTTTTTTTTTTTTTAGTTTATTTTGTGCAATTGAGGGGTGCACAGAACAGCTTCTATGACATAGTTACATCCTTGCACAGAGCTTTGTGCGTAGCATTACCGCTCAGGTGAGACCCAGGGGTTTCACGTGGCCCTGCTTGCAGGATGTGGGGTGCAAGCCAAGAAAGGCAAGGCAGGTATCGGTGTGGCCCCGTGCCCCTGCAGAGCTGCCGCCCACCCACGGTGCTGTCTCGAGCAGTGGCCGCAGCTCTTTCCAGCTGGCAGTGGCACTGCAGACCGGCGCTGGTATAAACTGACGTTTTGGAAAACAGGGAGCGAACCCCCTTAATCGGCTGCAGGGTCTTTAGTCCCGGCTCTTTCTTGCTGTTTAAACAACTCTTAGACAAATGCTTTTGTACTGCGGCTGTCTGCTCCAGATCTGCCGTCTCGGTCCCCCCCCCGGGCCTGCCAGGAATTGAGGGCATCGGGCATCCCTGCCTGCCAAGGGAGGATGGAGGCGGAGGAGCCTCCGCCTCCGTGACCGTCAGCACCCACAGCACCGAGTGTCTGCAGGGCCCTGCTTCCCCGCCACCCACTGCTTTAATTTGCCGCTGTCATTTGCTAAAAAATGGTTTCTCTGCAGTCTGGCCTCTGAGGGCAGCTCTCCCAGCAACGTTGCTTCGGGCATCTCTTATCTGCAGCGTTAATTCTCTGTTTCTCTGAATACTTATCTCTGCGGCCGAGGGGAAGAGCAGCTCTCGGGGGCGGAGAGCCGCGTGGCGTCCTACCCGGCAGTTATCACACCAGGCCATGGAAGTGGTGGGAGCGATGCTGCCCGGGCTTGGTGCTGTCGTAGACCAGGCACAGACCAAGCAGGTCAGGAGGAAGGCAGATGCTGGCATTGCCGGGAGCGAGCCGGCCGGCGTTTGGCTGCGGGGCTGGCATCTGGCTCCATGAAATGCAGCCGGTGACTCTTATAAAGCCATCGCCAGAGGCGAGCTCTCCCCACGGGCTGCCCCGGCTGCAGACGGGCCCGTGTGCTTGTCCGGGAACATCTGAGAGTGGAAGGGGCGGCAGGAAGGGCTGTTGTTCCTCCTCTGCCCTTGCAGGAGGCAGCATCGCCCCCGCGGGGGCCCGCTCAGGTGGGTCGGCTGCTCAGGGAGCAGCTCACTGCTTTCACGTTCGGCTGTTGTATTTAAAGCAGGTAGTACTTAGCAAAACATACGAGCTGAGATGCTACAGAAAGTGCGGGGTGGGAAGGAATATAAAACATTTGCTGCCCTTTAAAGAGGATACTTGGCAATCTTCCCCTCGCCTTTCCCTCCTGAAGCCCTGGCCGTTCAGCCCGCTGTTCCCGCAGCCCGCATGTCCCTGCAGCAGCGTATTGCCCGACAGCCAATTTTAATTAGGTTTCTCTTATAAAACCAAAATGTGGAACAGCGAAGCGCTGTCAGCTCAGACCTTCAGCTGTGACTCTCCCGAGAGCAGAGGGAGGCAAGTCTGGGGAGGGGGGGTCCGAGATCGAGCCGAAGCCCTTGGTCAAACAGCAGCGGGGCTCTTCCAGCCATGGGGAG